AGTCTCAAATCCAAAGAGATATTCTTTATCAAAGTTAAGACTCTGCCACGTCCCCCTAAAACGGCTCGTTCTAACACGCCCCCACATATCTAGGTCACTATGTGGAAATATTAGCATAATGCCGCCCAAATGTGCAAGCAAAGAAAGAAGGCGTGGTTTCAGTAACCGCAGTTAGTGTTGAAGCAGCCATGTCAGGGAGACGCTGTGTGTTTCTAGGCGAAAGCAAAAGCACTTTATTTGGCCTTCCGAAAGTAGATGCATTTAGGAATCTTTAAGATTACTTACAACAGAACAGCAATGCATTTTATGGACGACCGTTTCGTGAACCTAGGAGAGGAGGTAATTCAGAATCAGCTACTGTTTTGTTATTAGTTTAAAGGGGTCATATGATGCGATTTCAAGTTTTCCTTTCTCTTTGGAGTGTTACAAGCTGATTGTGCATAGATAAGATCCTTGAAGTTGCAAAGACTAAAGTCTCAAATCCAAAGAGATATTCTTTATCAAAGTTAAGACTCTGCCACGTCCCCCTAAAACGGCTCGTTCTAACACGCCCCCACATATCTAGGTCACTATGTGGAAATATTAGCATAATGCCGCCCAAATGTGCAAGCAAAGAAAGAAGGCGTGGTTTCAGTAACCGCAGTTAGTGTTGAAGCAGCCATGTCAGGGAGACGCTGTGTGTTTCTAGGCGAAAGCAAAAGCACTTTATTTGGCCTTCCGAAAGTAGATGCATTTAGGAATCTTTAAGATTACTTACAACAGAACAGCAATGCATTTTATGGACGACCGTTTCGTGAACCTAGGAGAGGAGGTAATTCAGAATCAGCTACTGTTTTGTTATTAGTTTAAAGGGGTCATATGATGCGATTTCAAGTTTTCCTTTCTCTTTGGAGTGTTACAAGCTGATTGTGCATAGATAAGATCCTTGAAGTTGCAAAGACTAAAGTCTCAAATCCAAAGAGATATTCTTTATCAAAGTTAAGACTCTGCCACGTCCCCCTAAAACGGCTCGTTCTAACACGCCCCCACATATCTAGGTCACTATGTGGAAATATTAGCATAATGCCGCCCAAATGTGCAAGCAAAGAAAGAAGGCGTGGTTTCAGTAACCGCAGTTAGTGTTGAAGCAGCCATGTCAGGGAGACGCTGTGTGTTTCTAGGCGAAAGCAAAAGCACTTTATTTGGCCTTCCGAAAGTAGATGCATTTAGGAATCTTTAAGATTACTTACAACAGAACAGCAATGCATTTTATGGACGACCGTTTCGTGAACCTAGGAGAGGAGGTAATTCAGAATCAGCTACTGTTTTGTTATTAGTTTAAAGGGGTCATATGATGCGATTTCAAGTTTTCCTTTCTCTTTGGAGTGTTACAAGCTGATTGTGCATAGATAAGATCCTTGAAGTTGCAAAGACTAAAGTCTCAAATCCAAAGAGATATTCTTTATCAAAGTTAAGACTCTGCCACGTCCCCCTAAAACGGCTCGTTCTAACACGCCCCCACATATCTAGGTCACTATGTGGAAATATTAGCATAATGCCGCCCAAATGTGCAAGCAAAGAAAGAAGGCGTGGTTTCAGTAACCGCAGTTAGTGTTGAAGCAGCCATGTCAGGGAGACGCTGTGTGTTTCTAGGCGAAAGCAAAAGCACTTTATTTGGCCTTCCGAAAGTAGATGCATTTAGGAATCTTTAAGATTACTTACAACAGAACAGCAATGCATTTTATGGACGACCGTTTCGTGAACCTAGGAGAGGAGGTAATTCAGAATCAGCTACTGTTTTGTTATTAGTTTAAAGGGGTCATATGATGCGATTTCAAGTTTTCCTTTCTCTTTGGAGTGTTACAAGCTGATTGTGCATAGATAAGATCCTTGAAGTTGCAAAGACTAAAGTCTCAAATCCAAAGAGATATTCTTTATCAAAGTTAAGACTCTGCCACGTCCCCCTAAAACGGCTCGTTCTAACACGCCCCCACATATCTAGGTCACTATGTGGAAATATTAGCATAATGCCGCCCAAATGTGCAAGCAAAGAAAGAAGGCGTGGTTTCAGTAACCGCAGTTAGTGTTGAAGCAGCCATGTCAGGGAGACGCTGTGTGTTTCTAGGCGAAAGCAAAAGCACTTTATTTGGCCTTCCGAAAGTAGATGCATTTAGGAATCTTTAAGATTACTTACAACAGAACAGCAATGCATTTTATGGACGACCGTTTCGTGAACCTAGGAGAGGAGGTAATTCAGAATCAGCTACTGTTTTGTTATTAGTTTAAGTATTTGCTATTGACTGTTCAAATGCGGAGTTTTGCGCATCGTGTGTGTGAGAGGGGGAGAGAGACAGAGAGAGACAGGGTCACATCAAAGTGGAGTCAGCTGTCTTAACCGTGGCTTGTGTACTGCAAACACATACCAGCTTCATCACTGTGTCTGTCACGCGACTCTGTTCCCCTTTCAGGCTTGAACTGATGGTAAAACTAATGACATTATTTACTGTCTTTACATTTATTTTGAAAGATGAAGCTCGAGATTATGGTAAGGGGCGTTACATTTCCGACGAGTGCTTGCGGTGTTCGGCCAATCACAATGCACTGGGTCAGCTGGCCAATCAGAGCAGACTGCGCTTGTCGGAAGGAGGGACTTTGTAGAAAACGAAGCGTTTGAGAGAGGCGGGGCATAGAGGACCTACAATAATGTACAGTATTTGAAAAATAATGTGTTTTTTGAACATTAAAGCATGTCAACATATTCTGTTACACCAAATACACAAAATAATGATCTTTAAAAAAGCATCATATGACCCCTTTAATATCTGGTTCAACAATGAAGTGATTTCTCAGCTGAATAATGACTGTTTACTACTGTGGTGTGGTGTGGTGTGGGGGGGGGGATCATTATTTTCCTCTTTATGGCTGTAAAGCTGTATTATATAAAGTGCAATACTGTATAATCTGTAGATCTGAACGTTGTTTCTCTTAGTCCACACTTACTGCTTCAATCAAGATATTAAAAGATAAAAACATGTCAAGGTGAGAACAACTGACACGTCAAATATTGCTGTCTTTTTGATGTTTTACCCACAGACTGGCTTTGGAAATTACCTGGGATTACAAAAGCTTGTGATGGCAGTCCAGATTGCCCTTTCTGCCACTTTAGCTGCATACTGCTGCAAGGTCATTCAGTGCTGCTCTCCAGTGTCTAGTGTGGTAAGAACCCACGCAAACTGTAATGCTAGCTGTAGCTCATGCTATAAAATGCTGTTTTGGAGGATATGACAACAAGTCCATCTGTCTGTACTCTCTTTCAGCCAGTAATCACGGTTAACGGACCTCCAGATCCTCAGTGAGGACAGTTTTAGTGATGAGTTGTTCAGAGCCAGGAGCTATATCCACATACATCTATATAACAGCTGTTCGTTCAACACGTGTATCAAAATTGAATGATCAGTTTTATACATTTTTAGGTATATCTATGAATTACTGTGAATTTAAACTCAATATTTTATTTTACACATTTAGTTTAACAACATGTTTCTAATATCCCATCACATTTAATCATGTGATTTGCATTAACTTTCTTTTCCATAATCTAAATAGTGGGCACAACCAGTGTAGCCTCGGTGCTGCAGTGTGTAATTTCTGTCCAACCCGTGGCACTGAACAGTTTTGCAAAAATGATAATGACTGAGAACTGCTATAATGACTGTTCTCAAACATCCCACATTGTTTGCACATAAAGTCCCACTTCAAATTCACTCTATTGACTGTCGAACCACTTAATTAAACAGAGCAATATTGAAAATGCTATTGAGCTGCAATGCTTTCATTTTTCAAGGAATTCAGCCAGTATTCATTGCAGCTATAGTCATCCTCACTGTTTCTAGATTCTTTCTAATGGTCATCTGTTTCCATCCTGTTTAAACATGCAAATAGAAAATTTGTGAGTAGTAAGTCGACATTACTTTACAACCAAATTGCACCAATAGGGCAAAATTAATGCGTCACAAAAAACACTAAAACAAAGTACACTGATTTATTGTTCAATAAATATCCACACATGATTTCAGATACAAAATAATCACATTTACATTTATTTAAAACCACAGTTGTTTTAAAAACACACACTATCCAGTAATTATTCTTGTCTTGACTGAGCTTACACAATGTTCAAACATGTATTACTGCAGAATTAAAATATTTTTTATCTTATTTTAAAATATGTCTGAAGACTCATCTTATTCTGTATATCCTTGATAATTCTACATGTCTAAGGATATAAAGATGCCTTGGCCTTAATGAGCAGTCAGTCTGTCAGGTCAGACACTCCAATCCAATGAATACTTCTTAAAACAGAAACAGCTGTATGACACCGTCTTCACAACTGTAGTTCATCTGTCCAATGACTCTGTTTAAATGAATAAAAACAGTTATTTTGTTATTCAATAAAATAACTGAGACATCAGTTCTTTAACTTGTCTCACTAAAAACTACACCATTCTCCGACTCTAACTACTTTTTTTTTTTTTAACTTTAGCTGCACCACCATCTATATATGACATCTTTGTGAAATATAAAAATCCTCTAATAACTATCTGGTTAAATACATGTTAAGATTTAAATGAATTAAAATTGTAGAATTTATTGGCAACACATAATAAATTATGATACAACATAGGAGAAATCATATCAATGTCAACCTGAGATGAGGATGAGGAAATTTCTTCCAAATCACCATAACAGCCATTTTTATGGCGTATCAAACTCCCCCACAGCACCGAGTGATGACAGCCAGGACACTTTCCCTCCACAGGAAGTAGGTGGGAAGGGTCTGCTTTCAGAAAGTGTTTAGCCAGGCAAATCAGATGACTAACCATTTGACAGGAAGGGTGGAAACAAGATAGTCTACCCATAGCCTGAAATCACAAAAAAGCAAAACCCAAAACAACTGAGGCTCAGTTATTTCTGCAATGTCTTGAGCTGGTTTTTTTAAACTTTAGCTGCACCACCATCTATATATGACATCTTTGTGAAATATAAAAATCCTCTAATAACTATCTGGTTAAATACATGTTAAGATTTAAATGAATTAAAATTGTAGAATTTATTGGCAACACATAATAAATTATGATACAACATAGGAGAAATCATATCAATGTCAACCTGAGATGAGGATGAGGAAATTTCTTCCAAATCACCATAACAGCCATTTTTATGGCGTATCAAACTCCCCCACAGCACCGAGTGATGACAGCCAGGACACTTTCCCTCCACAGGAAGTAGGTGGGAAGGGTCTGCTTTCAGAAAGTGTTTAGCCAGGCAAATCAGATGACTAACCATTTGACAGGAAGGGTGGAAACAAGATAGTCTACCCATAGCCTGAAATCACAAAAAAGCAAAACCCAAAACAACTGAGGCTCAGTTATTTCTGCAATGTCTTGAGCTGGTTTCTCATAACTACTTTGAAAGCAGAGTGGAACTAACCTTAACAAACACCCCACATAACACACACCGCTCCACCTGTCTCTCATCTTGTTCCTTGCACTCCTGCTGGGGTTTTGTCTTAGCACGAACACAGCCAAATGTTAGAGGAATGTGCAGAGGAGGCTGCAGTTCAGGAGCAAAGTCCATTCGGTACTCCTGCTTTAACCAGCGCACAGTGAGGGGAAGTCGACTCCACGGCGCCACTCGCAGCATGTTTGACACCACACGCCAGTGGAATTGCAAACTGGACTCTTTACGGCTGCGCCGGGCAACATGGGACAGTCGACGAGAAATGTGTGGATGTTGCCAAGCCCACTCAAACTAACGGATGAAAGACAAACAGAGGACAAGTAAAACCAACTGAATATTTCCACCTCACAATTTTAATTATTGTAATAAGTCTGGATGTTTTACTGTCGAATTTGTCATTTCCATGATCTTTTTATCATTCTTATATGTGACCCTGGACCACATAACCAGTCATAAGTAGCACGGTTATATTTGTAGCAATAGCCAAAAATACATTGTATGGGTCAACATTTTTTTTTTTT